CCCCCCCCCCCCAATATTCAGCAAACCCAGAACAGAGAAATATTGAAGAGGGAATAGCTGGGGTTAGTCACACACTTTTCAATACTGCAGAAACTGCATACCACCAAGCAGGAGACAGCTTGAGGTGATGTCCTCCCCTCCAGGCTGAATTTCATTTTGCTATTTGTTTCTTTAGCTTCTCAGGGACTTTGTGTTATAGTAAAAATGTAATAATTTTAGAAGTGTTTCTTTCCTTCCTGGTCTCCTTACTGTAAAGTTGTGTACTGGAAATTTTTCTAGCATGCCCTTGGAGGTGCTCTGGCACTTCCCCTCTGGTGGTGTTAGGCAGCTGTGGTTGGAGTGAGCACAGACTGTACGGAGTAAGGACTGAGGGAGACCCCAGTAAGCCAATTAGTTCGTCTCACTGCTCCAAGGCAAGATCAGTTACACATATCAGTAGTTCCCGGTAAGATTCATGTAGGATAGGCTCCCAGCATGGAAAAGCATTGCCATTGGAAAGCATTAAAAAAAGGTTATCTTGTTTTTGGATAACTGTTTCTCCAAAATGCATTCTGTAGGCACTGACGTATGTGCACCAGGAACCCATGACTGTGAGTAATATGTGAGTAATGGTGGATCACGTACCTGTGACTGCTATGAAGGTTGTTCAGCTGTTGGCAGAATCTCTGCACCATTTAATGTAGAATCATAAGTAAAGTTGGGTTGGAAGGGAGGTACCTAGTCCGATCTCTGGTTCAGAGCAGGAATAATCTGTCATTACATCAAGTTCCTAAGGATCCTGTGTAAGAGCAAAGTTATAAAATAGGTGGATATAGCCAAACACCATCTGCAAATATAGTAATTTTTTGTAGGTCTGGTCTTCTACATAAATGCAGTGTAAACACACAACTCTAGCATGTTTTGTATGACTTGTTTGGCATCTCAGTGGTAATGGGAGCATCCAAGATTTTGAATATCAAATACTGGAAGGCTCTAAATTTCACAGGAAGTCTGTAGAAGACTTCAGGGTACCCTTGGCAGTTGCCAAAGTTGGCTGAAAAAAGTAATTTTGTTAAAACAGACAGAATCCAAGGAGGATCTGTAGCTGTCATTGGAGAATTTAAATGCAAACATAAAAAATTAACTGGCAGTTGGTTGGAAACCAACCATGTTGGTGTGATATTTTGAACTGGCCTTCCTCCAGCTGACTCTTGAACAGGTCTTCTTTGTACATTGACCATAAAGCCAGTGGAACGTTCCAAAGGAGGGAGGTGAACAAATACGGGTTCAGCGGAATCAAGGAGACACCAGTTTCAACATTGGCTCTAAGACAAATTAATTTCTGCACTGCTAGAAATGAATCTGTTCATAGATTTTGCAGTTTCCCTGCAAAATGGAAATATCAATGGCATGATTGATAAATAAAAAAAGAAACCAAAACAATTCAGAAAAAAAGAAAAATTGCATCCAGGTATAATATTTCTATTGCTTTACTGTTATAATGCTCACATAATTTGTTTGGCATTGATCAGCTACACATTTATGTATCTGCATAAAAAAGAATTGATTAATCTGCTGTCGTTGCCTTTGCAAGTGATGTCAAAAACATGTATAACGAGACAGGTATTACACAGAAGTAACACCTCTTGATAACTTGTTGAAAGGGTATTTCATAATTGTAGGCCCTCTTTTAAGAAGGCTCTGCCTTTGAAAGCTTATTATTATTCTGGTCTCAGATGTAGACAGTAATCTCACTTACAGTAACTGTGCTTCAGTAGCTGTTGATGTTTGTTCTTAGCCTGCAGCAAGGGGTGCAGCTCCTATTTTCTTTATGGAGAGAGGTTAAATTGCCTTTCATGTAGCTAAGATCTCACAGCCATCAGCTGATGTCTGATGTTATTATACCACAATGAAATTATCACCTGAGCCCTTTGTGATCATCCCTGGTTTTGTGGTGGATTATAGAGAAAAAGGAGTTCCTGAGGATAGCTGAGGTGGGTTCCCTGTAAGTCTGGAAGATTGAGGGCAAGACCTAGAAACAGATTCAATGGAACCACTGCGGAGTATGGCAATGCTTGCTTTCTCTGAGGCTGGTGACTTCTCTGTCATACTGACTGGCTCCTCCATTAATATTGCTGTGTCTTTCTACTAGATTTAAAATGCATTTGGGCCTATCTGAATGCTGTTGTTCACCCATATTCATGTGACATTGGAATAGACTTCTGCTCATACCTCTTGAATAAAAAATAATACTCCTTATGCATGGATATTGCAAATATTACAAACTAAGGGTACTTGTAGGGTGATACACATTGATGATTTAGCTGAACCTCTACTGCTTAGTATTTAAAATTAATACATGTGTTCCTGCTTTCATTTTTGTATTACTTACCAAGTGGTGAATTCAATTCTTCTAATTCCTTCCCAAGCTGAGACTTTGGTGTCTAAATTCCACCTCCATCTCAGAAACTGATGCAAACTGCCCAATTTCTGACACTGACCGACTGTTTATGTCCCTAAAATCACTACATGCCTTCCTGCTTGGCTTGCAAAACTCCTGGAGTCTTAACTTTGGACTAATGTGTTCTCAGAAGTGTTGTGTTTGGGAGTGATGGGTACCCCAAATGCCATTACAATCTCACTTTGACAGGGCAGCAATCTTGATCTTCTGTAGATAGATAGATTTAGATTCTATTTAGATGCATTTACATGTGAGGAAGAAATTCTTTACTGTGAGGGTGGTGAGGCCCTGGCACAGGTTGCCCAGAGAAGTTGTAGCTGCCCCCTCCCTGGAAGTGTTCAAGGTCAGGTTGTACGGGGCTTTGAGCAACCTGGTCAGAAAGATGTTCCTGCCTGTGGCTGGGGGGTTGGACTAGATGGCCTTTAAAGGTC